GGCGCGGAGGGGAGAGATCTGTGTCACCCAGAGCCATCGGGGACAGCTCCGTGCCTCGGGGAGGGGCTGCGCTCCAGGGACTCTCGCCAGGCTGCTTCTCGGTCGCCGGGCCAGGCCAGCCGAGGGGGCGGCGCTCCAGACGAGCCCGCATCATTTCCATCCCGACGGCAGAGTGGGGGGGGGGCGGGACAGTCCTGCCCAGAGAAGCTCCGAGAAGGTTTTACCGTGCTTTACATGGGGTCGTCAGGTTCGAGGGTCGAAAGCTCCTGGGGTTTGTCGGGCTGGGGCCGGGACCAGAACGCGAGGTGGGCAAAACCCGGCTCTTCATGACGAGAGGCCACCTGGGAGGCCAGTGGGCGCGCAGTTCGAATGCGGGAGGGAGGTCCCCTCTCCCGGGGTGGCACTCTGCATTCCTCCGGAGGGACCCGCGGTCCCCCGGACGGCCAGGAGGGGTTGTCTTGAGCCTCCGCTGGCACTGCTCAGGAGCAGAGCACGCGAGCTGCCTGGACTCGACTCCTCCACGTCCCCGGGGCCAGAAATCCCCCTCCTGCCCTCCGTCCATCGGCAAATGTTCACGGCACCGGCCACACGCTCCGCCAGTTTGGAAGACAGAAGACGGTTCGAGGATGGACCACGGTCCACGGCTGACCCCTCGCTCCCTCCCTGCCCAGCACAAACTCTGTACAGGATTGTTCCAGAATAAGGGACGCCCTGTGCCATGGGGCAAAGAAACACCTCCATCGGGAAAAAAACAGCCCCCGGTGTAAGGGGCTGTTTCTTCACCTGTCCCACCGCCAGCCCCCTGCAGTTCTTCGGGGAAGAAAGAGTTTCTCTCCTACCCGTGTCTACATCCATGATGTGTAGTGGCCGACCCAGGACACTCAGTACCTTTTGTTGAGGGAAGGACTAAGTGTGGGCGGACAGATGGTGACCATGATGAATGAATGAATGAATGAATGAATGAAGACGAGAGGTAGGGCCGAGGGTCAAAGGAAGTAGCACGACCCGGACGAGGGCAGCAGAACGACATGGAAACGGGGAGAGAATCTTCGTGGGGCAAAGATTTTCTGCCTTGAAAAGCAGAGGAGGGCAGGGAAAGAGAGACCGTTCCACGATCAGGGATGAGGCTCACCCAAAATTGTTCTCGTTCCACGGCAGTTGCTCTCACGCGGTCCTCCGAGGGAAGAAAGCGGAGGCCAGCCCGTCCCGGGACCTCCCTCACGATCCCGCAGACGGCTCGCTGAGAACGGCAGCCTGGGCGCTGTGGCCGCCTCTGCTCGCAGGGTGTCCACGGCCCTTACGAACCACAGACGCCCCATAAACACGGTTCAACGATCTCCGATTGAGGCTCCCCCTTCCCACGGCGTAGCAGTGACCCGCCCCACCCTCACCCCATCCTGAGCCCGGCTGCAGGGTCCCAAAGCTCGCCTCCCCAGCTGCTCTCGGGTGCGGGTTGCCGAGTCGGCGCAGCCCAGGCTCTGGGTGATGGCAGCAATGACCGAGCTGGGCTCCGTCACATACGTTTCTCCAAACACTCAGGTGCCGAGAGCCACTCGGAGCCGTGAACGCAGCCGTGTCCCGTCCCCATAGACCTTTGCAGCACATGGCGGGTCACGACACACGCAGTACGTCTGCCAAACGCCCGCCTGCGCGCCCCGCAGTTGAATGGGAGGGCAGTGGAGGCCTGGTTACAATGGATGCTGTCGTGGGTGCGTGTGGGGCTCCCACCCTCAAATTTCTCACTTGTATGAAGTCTGATTTAAGCACAGCCTTTACTCCTGGAGCTTCCGCTCAAGAATGCCGGCTGAGGAGGGGTGCTGCCTTCTACTCACACTGCCTTTCTTCTGCCCATCTTGCTTGTCCTGATTAAGATGAAATCCTGTCCCCGATCTACACTGACTAGTTCTTCCCACCAGCACCCAGTGTGCCTGCCCTGTTTCCACACTGCACTCGGATGTCTCCCTGCTTGGGACAGGAACCTCCGGCCAGGGTCCGTCCCGTCCCTCGGCACCCACTGCTGCCGCCTGGGACGCCTGTCCCCTCGCACTGTCTGTCTCCTCTCCTTCCGACCTCCAACGTCGTCATCCTCACGACGTTCTTCTCGGACCAGCTCCATCCCGCTTCCTCACCGCCCTCTCGCCTTGCCTCCTCCCCTTCCCCGAGCTCATCTGCACGGGCCGTCAGCCCTGCCCGGGAGATTTAACCCTGAGACCTCAGACAGCAACTGCTGCTCAGTAACTTCTTCACGAAGGTCCCAGCACCCACGTCAGGTCCTCGCAGACAGTGGGATCCCAGTACGAGGGTGACTGGCCCCCAACTGACTGCAGCAGGGATTCCCTTGGCATCAATGCTCTCCGGCCTTTCCTGGGGCCCTGAACTTGGCCTTGCCTCTGTGGCTCCCTTGACCTTCCCCAGGCCAAGGCTGCTAATTATGGTTTTAACCTCTTTACTCAGGGTCCGATGATAGGACAGTCGTCTTATTTTTACTTTTGGCCGTGCTTCCAGATGATTCTTGCTACTTTTCCTGGATCTCCGTCCCATGAGGCTTTCTGTCGCGCAGCTCCTAGGTCTGGAGACCCCCGTGTGCACACGGCAGGTGTGGATTCACACTCCGTGCACCGGCTCGCCGCAGGGCCCTGCAGGAGGCCCGCGTTCCGCCTCCCCCCGCGCCCCCCCCCCACCCCGCCCGGGACCAGGAGCTGCAGCCTCACTTCCCGCAGACTCCGCAGGCTCCGCAAACACCGAAACCCACCGTCCGGCTGTTCATGAACTGACACGCGCTCCATGCCCTTCTCCTTGGCTTGTCTGGGCCTGATGCCCGTTAGCCGGTGGCCCTCTCCAGCCCCACTCACTGACCCAGAGGGTCAGCTCCGCGCCCTGCTAGTCCGGCCCCACGCTCAGATCACTTCCGCCTCGGACACACTCAAGGCCTCTCGCACTTGAACGAGTTTGAAAAGTCACACATAATAGCAGGGTGAGATAAGGCTCTCGGCCAGCAGAGCCTCCCGAAAACCACTCCTGCTTCCTGCTTGGCGCCCAGGGGTCGCTCGGAGGTCGCTGGGCCCCGCCTTCGGCTTCAGCAAGGGGGAGGCGCTAGGAGCGCCCAGCGACCATCCGTCTTTACCCAGAATTACAGATAATTTAAAAATCGCCCTGGCTGGTGTAGCTCAGTGGATTGAGCGCGGGCTGCGAACCAAAGTGTCGCAGGTTCGATTCCCAGTCAGGGCACATGCCTGGGCTGCAGGCCACGGCCCCCAGCAACCGCACATGGATGTCTCTCTCTCTTTCTCCCTCCCTTCTCTCTCTAAAAGTAAATAAATAAAATCTCTTAAAAAAACCAAGTGTGACATTGGTGCCCACACATCTAACAGAGGCCAACTGGGTAATTAGGAAATGTTTGATGATGGACATTGTGCTTTTGGGGATGCTTCCTGGGCTGTAGGGACGCAAATACCGGCTCCACCCCCCGCCCCTCCCATCCCACCCCGTTCAGAGGCTGCTGTGCCCGGCGCCTTCCCGACGCGTGTGTCCTTCCATTCCGGTCGCAGTTAACCCCACTTCTTACCAGACGGGCGACGCTTTCCTGCCACGGTTCCCATTTTTCCTGTGCCCTCATCCCCTTTCTCCCCGTGGAGGGCATTGACGAGATTCTGTCGTTTCGACCCAGGACTCTTGACCGGCCCCCGGTGTCCCACACACTTACACACACACACACGCCCCCTGCACACACTGTCGCCCACACCCACACACCTACACAACACCTGTACACACATACCCACGCATACACACGCCTGCACAGGCTCACTGGGCCCCTCATCTCACGACTCTTTTTTTTTTTTCTGACTGAGGGTGTTGGACTAACCGTCACAGATGGGTGCACCCTTTCCCCGTTCTGAGAAGGTCCACGCACCTACCAGTGAGGAGAGTGGGTTTGGGGGGTGGGGGCGGTGGGCAGATCCACGCCAGGCAGGAAAACGCAGCCCCCTGCTGGCCAGTACCGATTCCCACTCCTGTGTGTGGAACTTTGGATGTGGTGCTAGGTAAGGGCGCCCGGCTCCCCGAGCCCCGCCTCCGACCTTTGGACTCCGGGGCGAACCTGAGCAGGCACCCGCACCTCCACTCTCGGGGCTGGTCCTGGCGCCCCTCCTGAAACTTTCTCCCAGGGCCTGGCCTCCCGTGCAGAAGTGAGCGCTCCTCCCCACCCCCGTGGTCTGACCACAGCATAAACACCACGTCTGGAGACCTGTTTACGGTTTCTTAAAAAAGACCAGAAACTGAGGACGGACACAAACATCAGACCGCTCCTTGTCTAATTCCTCGATATGATGCAGAAATTCATAGGCCGAAAATGAAGCAAATAAAGAGGCATTACGGATCCCTGTTTCCTTGACAACTCCCCTCCCCCAGCCCGGCTGCGATAGGGAAAAACCAAATCGAAAGTGAGGAGGGGTAGCCCAGAGCCACGTTGGCCGTGCGCCAGCCCCGGCCCGAACCACCGGCGCATCACACATCCATCGATCTAGGCCGGGGCTGCGTTTCGTGTAGTATTTTTGTGGTTGCCATAGAAACGCCGGCGAGGGAAGAACGTGTTGCATGACACAAAAGAGACCGACAGGTAACGGGCACCTTCTCCCGGCCGCACCTATTGCAGAGGAAAACGCTGGAGGCCGAGGGGTCGGCGGGGCGGGGGCGCACGGAGCAGGGGCGCGGGCGGCGGTGGCCGGGGCGAAGGCGGGCTCACCCGGCTGAGCACAAAGGCAGGGTCCTCCGGCGGCAGCGAGCCCCTCCGCCCCCCGGGCCGCCCGCCGCGCTCCCGCGGTCGCCTGCCTGGCGCCCTTGGCCGCTGCCGCCGGCTCTCGGGGTTGGGTCGGTACCTACCCCTTCCAGAGGGCTTCGGGAAATCCAGCCCCCCGGGCGAGGGACCGGGAGAGGGACGCGGCCCGCGGCCCGCCGCGCCCCGAGGGGAGGTCGCCGGGAGGGAGCCCGCGAGCCGCACGTACCTCGGTCCCGGCAGCCCGGACACATGGGCTGGGGAGAGACCGGAGACCGAACGCGAGGCGGCGGGGCGGCGGGGACTGCCACTAGTTTGTGGGAGCGGCAAGTCCGCCGGCGCTGGAAAGAAAAGGCGAGACTCCACCCAGGGGTGGGCCCTGCGCGGGGGAAAAAAGTGGTCCTCGGCTGACGTCTCTCCCCACCCCATGTCACTTCCTTTTAAAGCGGCGATCGCGCCGTTTCGGGGAGGGGAGAGGCGTGAGTCACCCCCGGCCCCGCCGAGGAGCGCGCCCGGGCTCCGGCCCGCGGAGCGTTTGCATTCGGGGCCCGAGGACCCGCGGCATCCGAGACAAAGCGCGCTCCGTGGCCTCTCCGTGCCGGCGGCGTCTCCCAAATCCTGTTGCATCCCGGGCCCAAAGGGCTCCCCCGAGCGCGGCCCCCGCACGCGCCAGCCTGCCCGCGCTCGCGAGCTGCCGCCTCCCGTTCACGCAGCGGGGACGCGGTCGATTTGTGGTGTAAAATACCCTCGACTTTAAAGTGCCCCCTACCCCTCACCTCTCGTGCGCCGCGCTGGGAGGAGGTGGCACTCCACCGTGAGCAGCCGCTAGGCGCCTCCAGCGACATGCTCCTGGAGACACGGGAGGGCCGAGGTGCCGGGGACTGCGGCCGAGCGGCCTGGCGGTGGATGCGCTTTCTCCCCGCGAAGCGGCTGCCAGGTCGGTTCCCGCGCACACGCGCGCGCACACGCACGTGTCACTCACACGCAGCGCGTGCCAGGGAGCCCGGGCAGGGCTGTAGAACAAAACAGTGTCCTCACAACTTGAAAACTCCAAGAGGGCCAGGTCTTTAACAGTCCTTGATAAAAGAACATTTCACTCTCCAAAGAGTCCAGATGTATTTTTAATTTTTTGTTCAGTTTTCAATTACAGTTAACATAACATACATTAGTTCCAGGTGTACAATAATATAGTGTTTAGACATGTATATAACGTATGAAGGGATCACCCCAAAAAGGCTAAGCACCCTTCTGGCGCCCTGCACAGTTATTACGATAGTATTGATTACGTTCTTCACGCTGCCCCTTACATCCTTGAACTGTTTTTATAGTCAAGACGTGTGCCCATCAGAATTGATCACTAGTAGAACCAGAGTCACAAATAATATTGGAGTGTTTGCATGTGTCTTCTCTGTTCACCTGTGTTCTTCAGGTGTTCACAATGTACAGGAGAAAACGAAGTGTTCAAAGACAACGAGAACGCATGGCAGAATTAGTGACAGCTCCAAAAGTGTTAAAAACAAAAACGGAAGCAGCCCACCCACCCAGCCAACCGTGAGCCCCGAGAACAGAGGATGGAGAGAGCGGCGGTGGTCAGGACCGGAGGAAAGGCATTCAGAACTCCCCGAGCGGGGTCCGGGGATGCGGGCCGAGGGTTTCTGGGGTGGAAGAAGGGACCCGCACAGAACACCCGGGGGTGGCGGTGGCGATGCGTGACTTTAACATCCACGTGAGCGTACGGGTGACGATACGGAAATGCTCGTCCAGGGCAGTCCCAGAGCAGAGGAGGGGTTTCTGCATCCAGCGCAGGTCTGAGTCCTCTCACAGAAGGTTTCCAATTATGTTCTAAAGTCCATTTGTCCCCAGCATCGTGGAAACTTGCAGAGGTTTCCCAAAGTGCCACTCAATGGAGTTAGACCGACTGTGTTTCGTGTTTGAATGTCGAATGGAAATTTGTTTCAAAACCTACGAACTGTGTACCTTTGCGCTCTATTTATTACAACCCCAGTCAATGATTTCAGTAGAAAGAGTATGACATTCAAGTTGTTGACCCCTGCAAGTCTTACTCAGAACTCGGTCTGAGGGTCTTCATTCCGTCGTGACTGTAAATATCAGTACGCCTGTTATTGCTACAGTGGCTCGGGGCCTGTGCAGATGATATGGCTCCGCTATCCCAGGATGGAGCTGAGGCATCTCCGCTATCCCAGGATGGAGCTGAGGTGTCTGGGAGAAAGAGTGACTCCTTCTAAAAATTTCAAGTGGAAGTACAACATCCATGGATTACATTGTATGCACTTTGCTTGGAGCAGCATTTAGTACCTAGCTTCAGTTTACATATCCTTCATTAGCTATTTCTCTTTACGCAAGGAAGTGTGGAAATGTCAGCGTCACAATCTGACAGTTCAGTTCAGCAACTGTTTGAGAATCGGTGCCAGTTGCAGAAGACGGAGAAACATGCATCTGATAGAAACACGGCCCCAGGGTGCTCGAAGTCTTAGCAAAGAGGCAGGTAAGTAATTGAGGTATGCCCTGAAGGAGGTAGTCGCGGCAGCCTGTGCACAGTTCAGAGACGGCAAGAAGAATGAATGGGCCGGGGAGGTGGGGCATCGGTCCACAGGGCTTCTTACTCACAGCAAACTGTAGGGGGCGCTGAGAGTGAGCCGTGCCTTCGGGGCGGAGCCTGCCTGGAAGGGGCGTGGCTAACTGGAGGGATTCACCAGGAGACTAGAGGCACGCGCTGGTGGCTGAAAAAAAGGATACACGAAAAGCCGAGGAACCAGCAACAAAAGAGATGCAGCCTCATAAAAACAAGGAGGAAGGTGGAGATGCCATTTCTTTGCCCCTGCATGGGTCAAACATTAAAAAACTGAACAGACGGCCTAGAGGGGGCGCTCTGCAGCGGTCGACGCCGCGCCTGCCGGCGGCGGTGACTCGGGCACAGTGGAAACTCTGTCTGCTTCAGGGAGACACAGGACAGAGTGTAGACGATGGAGTCAGTTGGATACTTGGGCTCTGCAATGATCTTACAGCTGATTGCTGTATATTTCAACCAGCTCTCACGCAGCCTTTAAACTGTGCCGTTTGTGTGTTTGAACGACCAGCAGGCGCCCGTGGACACGGTGTTCCCGCTGCAGTCTTCTTAAGCCCACCCCAGCGGCTCTGCTGGCCCGGGCGAGGGCAGGATGGAGGGCCGGGCCGGGTGTCCTCCTCGGGCGCTGACGGCCGTGCCCGGAACCTGAGCGTGTAGGCGCAACCGTCTCTGGACCGGCTTTCCGTGCATCTCGGGTTTGTCCTGCGCCCCTTAAAAACACTGTTCTCGGTAATCACACACCTCCTGTCTCTTCTGGGTAATCGTCCAGGGCCCTTCAGCCTGGCGGGGGTGACCCTGGGAAGTCCTTCACCACCTCCTCCCACACGCAGGCACTGAGCGACTGGACGTGGTTCAATACAGGGGCGAGTCCACCGCAAGAGGAAGAACTAAACTCGAATCAATGAATGCCCGACCGGTGGACAGCAACTTAGAAAGTTGCCAGCCTCACCCTCCGATCTTAGGAGATACGGTAGCACGGCCCGGCTGGTGTGGCTCGGTGGGCTGAGCACCGACCTGTGGACCAGGAGGTCACCAGCTTGATTCCCCACCAGGGCGCATCCCTGGGTTGTGGGCCGGGTCCCCCGCCCCCAGCTTGGGGACTGGGGAAGGCAGCCGATCATTGTTTCTCTCGCACATCAGTGTCTCCTTCCCTCTCTTTCTCCCTCCCTTCCCGTCTCTCTGAGAATAAATAAATAAATAAATAATTCAAAAAGAGAGTGAACAGGTCCTGCAGAAGAACAACACTGACACTTAGCATTCGTATTCTCTCATAAGCAAGTAAAAGTGCACCATCCCAAGGAGCATTTAATCTGGGTGATTTTCGACCCCTGCATTTTATATATATATATATAACATATATATTACTGTGTGACTTAAAAATTTTGTAAAACATGAATTACTTTTGTAAACAGAAGACTAAGGTGTTTTTTAACATAAAGATTTGCTATCCATTGTTGACGGACCACCCAGTGGCACCTTAGTGGGCAGTGTGTGCACCAGTGACCCCGAACCTGTGTGCTCGCAACCCCCGCCCCGGGGGTCTCTCCGCGCAGGAGAGTCTGGGAGGGACTCGGGACTCGTTTTAGTCCCCACCTCCCCCTTTCCAGGGGCCGTTTGGGAGCCCGGGAAGCCTGCGACTGCCTCCCGCCGACCCACAGCGAAGAGGACGGAGCTGAAGCAGAGGCTCCGGTTTTAAGGTTCCGGCCTCATGATTCTTCCCACTGCGTTCCCCGGGCTTGCCGTCGGGAAACTAGTCTGAGAGAAAAATCGATCAGCATTAAGATGTTAAAAAGGAAGTTTCTGCTTAAACTCCTGCTCATCATTCTAAGTGTCGATATTAAAAGTTCGTCGATACTCGTGCATGTGAGTTTACACATAGTAGGTTTCACCCGAAGAAAATTAATCTTGGAATTTGGCAACCGTGAGACCAAAGTCGGCGAGAAGCACATGGCGTCTTTTCTCCGTGATCCCTCCTTCCATCAGGGTTTCTGGCCAAAACCAAGTCCAGTTCAGCAAAACTTGGCTTCATGATTGATTTGGAAGGCGCGGCAGAGTCCTGATTCGCCTGTAAGTTTCTCGATCTCAGCTCCTTCAGACATAAAACTCAGGAGGTGGCTGAGACGTTTACATGAGAACGTGGGAAGCCCCAGAAATAGTGTAGGACCTCAAAAAAATGACCGTTCTCTCCCCGTCTCCTGGTCCCCACGGTTATGATACAGGTGACTTTCAGAACTACACTTCCGGCTGGCATCCCTCCCCGAGACCTCACACCCATTTGCCCAGCAACCAGGTGAAAGTCTTCGTGGAGAGAGGCGAAGACATCTCAGATGGAACGTGACCCAAAACCGGCCTCTTGGCTCCAGCTCTGCAGCTCCGCCAGCACCCTGGCGTCCTCTCCCACGAATTTCTGGCTTCCTGTTCTGGTGAATGATGACTTCAACATCTTCCCTGGTTCTTCCCTGTGCCTCTTGCACGCTATTAATTTTCTTCTCAACCCTCTCGTGCCATTTTAGAGAGGGGAGAGGGAGAAAGAGAGGGAGAGATACATCAACATGTGGTTGCTGCTCACACGCCCCCTGCTGGGGACCTGTCTCCCAATCCAGGCATGTGTCCTGACTGGGAATCGAACCGGTGACCCTTTGGCTGGCAGGCTGGAGATCAATCCACTGAGACACACCAGCCAGACCTAAATGTCTTCCATTGTTTTTGTTTCACCTAAAAAGAAAAGGCCAGTGAGAGGCTGTGATTCAGGCTGAAGCCCAAATAGCGTTG